TTTCGGACAAATGGCTGTCCAGTCTCTTCTTAAAAACTTCCAGTGTTGGAGCATTTACTGCTTCTGGAGGCAGGTTGTTCCCCTGGTTAATTGTTCTCACTGTCAGGAAGTTTCTCCTTAGTTCTAGGTTGCTTCTCTCCTTGCTGAGTTTCCATCCGTTGCTTCTTGTCCTGCCTTCAGGCGCTTTGGGGAATAGCTTGACTCCCTCTTCTTTATGGCAGCCCCTGAGATATTGGAATACTGCTATCCTGTCCCCCTTTGTCCTTCTCTTCGTTAAACTAGACATACCCAATTCTAGCAACCGTTCCTTATATGTTTTAGCCTCCAGTCCCCTAATCATCTTTGTTGCTCTTCTCTGTACTCTTTCTAGAGTCTCAACATATTTTTTACATCGTGGTGACCAAAACTGGATGCAGTATTCCAAGTGTGGCCTTACCAAGGCATTAAAGAGTGGTATTAATACTTCACGTGATCTTGATTCTCTCCCTCTGTTAATGCAGCCTAGCACTGTGTTGGCCTTTTTGGCAGCTGCAGCACACTGCTGGCTCATATTTAAGTGATTGTCTACTAGGACTCCGAGGTCCCTCTCACAGTTACTACTATTGAGCATGGTGCCACCTATGCTGTACTTGTGCATTTGGTTTTTCTTTAAGTAAGTAAGTAAGTAAGTAAGTAAGTAAGTAAGTAAGTAAGTAAATAAATATCAATTAAAAATAGGGGAGAAAAAAGAACAGCCTCATCAGAACATATACATTTAATAAATAAATAAATGATGAATATATATATATACTGTATATAACAAATGTGTTATAGAGTGTTCAAAAGAAGAATTCACCTCAATTTTTAAATGAAACATTGAACACATGGAATTACGCTGTCTTTGCATAGCATGGATAAGAAAGAGATACGAGGGCAATTCTAAAATAAACCTCCATTTGGTTATCTGTGACAGACACTCGCGGATACAGAACTTTTATTAGCCACGTTGGAAAACTGCAACATGACATGACTTTTCGACATACTTGTCATAACGCAATTTGAAATTCCTTAGTAGTTGTCACTCGGTGCCAAATCTGGGCTACGGGGTGTGTGTGTGATCAGAAACATCCCTAGAACTAATGAGAAATTTCCTGACAGTTAGAACAATTAATCAGTGGAACAACCTGCCACCAGACGTGGGCGCTCCATCGCTGGAAGTTTTTAAGAAGAGATTGGACAGCCATTTGTCTGAAATGATATAGGCCTTCCTGCCTGAGCAGGGGGTTGGACTAGATGACCTCCAAGATCCCTTCCAACTTTATTATTATTGTTGTTGTTGTTGTGAAGGTTGAGAAACACAATTCTGTGTACACTGAATTGGCCATTCACAAACAGTTTGAAGCTATGATGGAACTCCCTAAAAGGGACTTACAACTTGGTCTCAAAGGTCTGACATTACCCCCCCCCCACACGCTGCTTCTACAATCATGTGATTGCATTTTGGGCACTCAGCAACTGGCACACCGTGATCAAGTCCCTGCGATTGATGGATTTTTTGCCAGAAAATTTGGACTAAATGACCTCCAAGGTCCCTCCCAATTTTATTATTATTACATTATTATTATTGATGATCATCGCACAGTCAGCCAGATGTTCAGACTGGATTTGGCATTTTGTCTACCTATCGAGTCCTTACCCAGGACCTGGGATAGGCAGATGTGGATGTTTGATGGTATTACAGGTATCGTCGCAGGATGGAAGCAGTTCCTAATAAGGCCGCCTTTTGCAATTGACTAATAGGGAATTTGTCAATGCCAATGGTGTTCAAGTGGTGCTCCAGTTGTTTTGGGAGTGCGCCCAAGGAGCCTATGACTATTGGTACTACCCTTGCTTGCTTTTGCCACAGTCTTTCTATTTCTATTTGTAGGTCTTTGTATTTTGTTATCTTCTCCAGTTCTTTCTTGTCTATTCTGCTGTCTCCAGGCACTGCCACGTCCACTATCCAGACTTTTTTGTCTTTCTTATCGACAATTGTTAAGTCTGGGTGTTATGTTGCAGGTGCTTGTCTGTTTGAATTCTGAAGTCCCAGAGCAGTTTAATTTTATCATTTTCTATGACTTTCTCTATTTTATGATCCCACCAGTTTTTGCTTACAGGCAAATGATTTTTTTTGCAGATCTTCCAATGCACCATTGTTGCTACTTTGTCATGCCGCTGCTTGTAGTCAGTCTGTGCAATCTTCTTGCAACAGCTTACCAGGTGCTCCACTGTTTCTTCAGCTTCTTTGCGTAGGCGGCACTTACTGTCTGTTGCTATCTTCTCAATTTTGACTTTATATGCATTTGTCCTTAAGGCTTGGTCTTGTGCAGCCAGAATTAGTCCCCTGGTCTCTTTCTTCAATTTTCCTGCTACTACTACTACTACTACTACTACTACTACTACTACTACTACTACTATAATTCCAACAGAATAATAATAGTGATGTGCGGACGAGCACTGTCGTAAACAGACACCACACCAGACGTCAGCATGCTCCTACGCTAGTTATGGATGGCTCATCTGAGTTTTTGTAACGTTTCACAGTAGACGTCCGAATTGATGGTTGAACCACACTCCATGAACTTCACTACTCTTTGGCATCTGCACATCTGGCGGGAGTTTCTACGGCACCCGTTGTGGCTGCCACAAAGAAGGGGGGGGGGTTCAACCTGTTCTCCAAAGCATCCGAAGAAGGCAGGACAAGAAGCAACGGATGGAAACCAATCAAGGAGAGAAGCAACCTAGAACTAAGGAGAAATTTCCCGACAGTGAGAACAATTAGCTAGTGGAACTGCTTGCCTCCAGAAGTTGTGGGTGCTCCATCACTGGAGGATTTTAAGAAGAGACTGGACAACCATTTGTCTGAAATGGTATAGGGTCTCCTGCCTGAGCAGGGGGTTGGACCAGATGACCTCCAAGGTCCCTTCCAACTCTGTTATTTTGTTTAGTGAAAAAAAGGACCAGGGGTGACATGATATAACAGTTTGCTAATATTTTAGGGATTGTTATAAAGACCTCTAAGGTCCCTTCCTATACTCTTATGCTGTTCTTCTATTCTGTATTCTGGTTGCAAGGAGATCCGGATGTCCTTCGATCACAACATAGGTTTAAAATTACACTGGAAAACATGACAAAGAGGCCGCTGCCGGAAAGATGGGGCAACAGCAAAGGACTCTGATCGTGTGTCACCTGAGCGGGCAGGTGAAACACAGACGGGCCCTGTTAAATAAGCAATGAAGAAAGAGACAAAAACAACCAGCCTGGAAAATAAATATACAGCTATAGGGGCAATTCGTGCCCATTTCATTCACCAGCTGCTTTTCGAATGCGCTCAAGTCATCAGATAGGTCTGGAAAAAAAGAGGCAAGCTTTAAGCTGGCGCCCCTCCAGGTGCCTTGATCTACAACTCCCATCGCCCGACATCAAACATGTCCTTTGCAATCGCGTGTCTGAGATAAAAGAAAGCTGAGTGAGGAGGGGCTTTTAAAGCTTTTAGCTTTCTAAGCTTTTTAGCGATCGATGGACTCTGAATGCAGAGTCGGGATTTGGATTTTCAAGAGATACAGGTGGAACCTTTACACACAGCCAGTATGGTTGGGATTGTGGGTTTCTGCTTGATAGTGCCTTGATTAGGGTATTGTTTTCTGTTTGATGATGGAAAGAAAGAAAGAAAGAAAGAAAGAAAGAAAGAAAGAAAGAAAGAAAGAAAGAAAGAAAGAAAGAAAGAAAGAAAGAAAGAAAGAAAGAAAGAACTTGTGATCCGCCCACTTACTTTCTAAAGGAGATAGGAGGCATAAAAATTTAATAGAAAGAAAGAAAGAACATAAAGGGAAGGAAAAAGAAAGAAAATGAAAGAAAAGAAGAAAGGAAGGAAGGAAGGAGATAGGAGGCATAAAATTTTAAAAGAAAAAGAAAGAAAATAAAGAGAAGGAAGGAAGGAAGAAGAAAATTAAAGAAAGAAAGAAAGAAATTGTAATCCACCCAGTTACCTTCTAGAGGAGATAGGAGATAAAAATTTACTAGAAAGAAAGAAAGAAAGAAAGAAAGAAAGAAAGAAAGAAAGAAAGAAAGAAAGAAAGAAAGAAAGAATAAAGAGAAGGAAGGAAGAAGAAAATAAAAGAAAGAAGAAAGAAAGAACTTGTAATCCACCCAGTTACCTTCTAGAGAAGATAGGAGGCATAAAAATTTAATAGAAAGAAAGAAAGAAAGAAAGAAAATAAAGGGAAGGAAGGAAGAAGAAAGAAAGAAAATGAAAGAAAGCACAGAAAGATGTGCTGGGGAAAACACACCCCGACTACATTTCCCAGCAGCCCCCGCGGGTCGAGCGGGCGAAGGCGCGGGTGGGCGGGACCTCACGGCTTTACGGCGGCGCCTTCGGGTTTCTCCGCCCACCCACCGCTCTCACTTACTAAGCCGCCCGCTGGGCGCGCGCGCTGGGGCTTGTCGGCAGCGCGCATGCGCGCCCGCTTTCGCCTCAGCGGCACTTGCCGGCCGAAAGGGGCGCGGCGGTGCCGGTGGTCGTGTGGCGGGGGGGGTGGGTGGGGTGGAAACGAGGAGGAGGGTCCCTTTACGATGAGGAGGGGGTCTTGGCTACCTCTATAAATATTATAAATATTTTCGGAACGCTTCTGGAGGCCTCCCCCTTTCCCCCCCACCCCCCTCCCAAAACAATCCCTCTGAGGAAAAAAGAGCAGAAAACACAGTCTGGAGGTGGGTGGGCCGAGGGGAGATTGACAGCCCCCTCCCCTACTTATTTTTTGAGAGAGGCCTCTCCCCCGCCCATTTTTTTTTTTTTTTTAGGGAAGCCCCTCCCCTCGCTCGGCCGCCTCCCGCCCTTCCTGTGAGAGCCCCTCCGCCAGGCCGGGGGAGGGGCGGGGAGGAGGAGGAGCGGGGCGGTCACGTGACTCCTCCCTCCTTTTTTTTCTCTCCCTCCCCCGCCCCCTCCCTCCCTCCCTCCTCTCCCTCCCTCCTCACCCCCCCGCCCGCAGGTTTGCAGCCCGCAGTTGCACGTGTGAGCGGGAGCGCCGCCGCAGCTGGGTCGACCTGACCACCCACCCACCCCTTTTTTTCCTCCCTCTTTTGCCCGCTGGAGACACCCACCCACCCAGCCAGCCAGCCATGGGCGACCCCCGGGACGTGCGGGTGGGGGATGTCAACTCCAACCTGCTGATCGGCTGCAGCACCGGGGACGCCCAGCTGGACCGGGCGGTGGGGCAGTGGCTGAGCTGGGACAAGGTGGGTGTGGGCACGGAGGGGGGGAAGGGAAACCCCCCACCCCTTGCAAGGGGGGGGGAGAGAGAGAGAGACCCTCCCCAGCTGGCCAAAAATAAGAATTTGCACGGAATACATCGATCAGGAAAGAGAGGTGACCTTTTGGGGTGTGTGTGTGTAGGGTGTGTGTGTGGGGGGGTCCTGGCAAGAGCAAGCAGGTGGGCACTGGCGATGCCAACCCAGCCTGGGCACCAGCCCCCCACCTGGCAGAATCCAGCCTGGGAAGGATGTTGGAGGAAGGTCCTCAGCAGGTTGCATAAATTACACACAGGGATTCATCTGGAGATTTATTTATAGGTATGTAGGTGTGCATGCATGTAGCGTATCTATATGCGTGTTAGGTGTGTGTACGCTTTTGAGAGCAGGCGACAGAATCTCGTTTTGAATGTGTGCCAGTGTGCCCACAGTAAAAAAAGGACAATAAAGGTTATCTAGGTGGCCTTTTGGGGGGGTTGAGTGGGGAGAGGCAGATGGGCACTGGCAATGCCAACCCAGCCTGGGCACCAGCCCTCCACCTGGCAGAATCCAGCCTGGGAAGGATGTTGGAGGAAGGTCCTCCACGCCAGGACTGCAGCAGGTTGCATAAATTACACACACGGATTCATATGGAGATTTATTTATAGGTGTGCATGCATGTAGCATATCTATATGTGTGTTAGGTGTGTGTACGCTTTTGAGAGCAGGAGATAGAATCTCGTTTTGAATGTGTGCCAGTGTGCCCACAGTAAAAAAAAAGACAATAATGGTTATCTAGGTGGCCTTTTGGGGGGGAGGGTTGAGTGGGGAGGGGCAGGAGGCATTGGCAATGCCAACCCAGCCTGGGCATCAGCCCCCACCTGGTAGAATCCAGCCTGGGAAGGATGTTGGAGGAAGGTCCTCCACGCCAGGACCGCAGCAGGTTGCATAAATTACACACAGGGATTCATATGGAGATTTATTTATAGATAAGGGTATAGGTGTATACATATGTGTGCATATAGCGTGTCTATATGCGTGTTAGGTGTGTGTACGCTTTTGAGAGCAGGCGATAGAATTTCGTTTTGGATGTGTGCCAGTGTGCCCACAGTAAAAAAAGGACAATAAAGGTTATCTAGCTGGCCTTGGGGGGGTTGAGTGCGGGGGGGGGCAGGTGGGCATTGGCAATGCCAACCCAGTCTACCTGGCAGAGTCTGAAGTGGGAAGGATGTTGGAGGAACGACCGCCAAGCCAGGACCACAGCAGGTTGTTGTTATCTTTTACAAATGGCTTGTTTGTGCCAAAATGGGCTTTCTCCTTTGCTGAAAAAAAAATCAAGGTCTCTGTGCCTCCTTTTTTTGACCCATCAAATCGTATGCAAAAGCTTCCATCCCTTTTAACAGAGGAAAAAGGAGCTACAGACTGTCTGATTTGGGTTGTGTGTGGGGGAGATTGTAATATGTTTGGAAATGCTTTCCTCTTTCTCCAGAGCGACTCAAAACCGGCTTTATGTGATTGCAACACCACATCCTGAAAGGGTATTATTTAAGAAATACACAGTGCAATGTAGCCTTGTTAATCTTATCAGGAGGATAGGCAGTGAGGGAAAATGTCTGAGGGGGGAATGGATGCTTTGCAGTTCTCCGCATCAAACAAAAAATCTATTTTTTTTTCTAGCAGGAGATAGCTAGTATTTTTTTTTTAAAATGCTATTTGCCTTTGGGGTGCTATGAAATAACATGAGATTAAGTCGATTTGTCTTAAGCTGCTCACAGGTTTTATGACATCTCTCTGGAAGAATAGAACATATGTATAAAAAAGTTACACCCACCCACCCACACACACACACACACACCCTACAGCCTTTGTCTTAAAGCTCCTTTCCTTACAAAATTCAACTCAATCTACTTTTTTATTACAATATAAAAAAATACATCAGATCTTGTATGGTTAAAAAAAACCCCTTGCATGTGTTACAAGTGTACATAAATTGAAAAAAAAAACCAGGACAGAATAAGTTGTATAAAATATTAATGCAAGATTAATTCAATATTTAAATGTATTAAATCTAGAGACTATATAGAAACCTATTGTTTCATCTCATTTTTGGAAGTTAAGGACATTTTAGAAATGGATAGCAAATATGTATCTTGAATTCGTGCTTTCTATGCTATCTATTTATAACCTTTTGCATGCTTCCTTTCCCCCCCCTCTTTTGGAAATAACCTCCAATTGGCATCCATTTCTAGTTTTTTGGCGACCTTGTTTCAGGTTTCTCCTTTCCAGCCTGTTTGATGACCTCATAGGAAAGCTGTTAGTATGGAAGAGGGAAAAAAAATATATGCATAGGAATGAGAGCTGTCTAAAAGTCAGGAGTCTGCATTTTGGAAATTAATGGACATTATCTGTGGATAACTGGCAGAAGGAAGGATCTGTGTGCCTGCATTGCAAAGTAAAACTGGAGAGCAAATATTAAAATTCCGGTATCTGGCAATGGGCAGTCCATTAGTCTGTCCATATCCCACATTTTAGTGCCATCATTTTAGAATGGAATGGAATGGAATGGAATAGAATAGAATAGAATAGAATAGAATAGAATAGAATAGAATAGAATAGAGCTGGAAGGGACCTTGGAGATCTTCTAGTCCAGCCCCCTGCTTAAGCAGGAGAACCTATATCATCTCAGACAAGTGACTGTCTAGCCTTTTCTTAAAAAATCTCCAGTGATGGAGCGCCACGATTTCTGGTGGCAAGCTGTTCCACTGGTTAATTGTCCTCACTGTGAGGAAGTTTCTCCTTAATTCCAGGTTGCTTCTCTCCTTGATCAGTTTCCATCCATTATTTCTTGTCTTTCCCTCTGGTGCTTTGGAGAATAATTTGACCCCCTCTTCTTTGCGGCAGCCCCTCAAATACTGGAACACTGCTATCATGTCTCCCCTATTTCTTCTTTTCTTTAGACTGGCCAAACCCAAGTCCCACAGCCTTTCTTTATATGTTTTAGTCTCCAGGCCTTTGATCATCTTAGTTGCTCTTCTCTGAATTTTTTCCAAACTCTCAACATCTTTTTTGTGATATGGTGATCAAAATTGGCTGCAGGATTCCAGGTGTGGCCTCACTAGGGTTTTATAAAGCGGTAGTAATACTTCATGTGATCTTGATTCTATGCCTCTGTTTATACAACCCAGGATTGCATTAGCTTTTTTGGCTGCTGCTGCACACGGCTGGCTCACGGTCAAGTGATCGTCCACTAGGACTCCAAGGTCCCTCTCACAGTGGCTATTTTTAATCCAGGTCTCGCCCAATCTGTACTTGCGCCTTTGGTTTTTCCTGCCTAAATGTAAGACTTTGCTTTTCTCCACATTGAAACTCATTTTGTTGGATAGGGCCCATTGTTCAAGTTTGTCAAGATCTTTTTGGATCCTGAGCTTGTCTTCTGGGGTGTTGGCTATTCCTGCCAGTTTGGTGTCATCTGCAAATTTGATGAGTTCCCCTTCAGTTATCTAAGTCATTGATGAAGATATTGAAAAGTGCTGAGCCTAAGACGGAGCCTTGTAGTACCCCACTGCTTACTCCTCTCCATATAGATGTAGTGCCGTTGAGGACTACTCGCTGAGTACAGTTTGCCAGCCAGCTACAGCTCCATCTGATGGTGATGTTGTCTATTTTTCTAGCTTACCAAGGAATAGGTTGTGGTCTACCTTATCAAATGCCTTACTGAAGTCTAAATATACTACGTCCACTGCGTTTCGCTGGTCTATTAGTTTAGTCACTTTATCAAAGAATGAGATGAGATTGGTTTGGCATGATCTGTTTTTGATAAAGCTGTGCTGGCTACTAGTTATAACTTTGTTTGCTTCTAGTTGTTCGCAGATCTGTTTTTTTTATTATCTTTTTCAGGATCTTCCCAGGTATTGATGTCAGACTGATTGGTCTGTAGTTTCCTGGGTCTGTTTTTTTTCTCTTTTTTGAAGATGGGGACCACATCAGCCCTTTTCCAATCTTCGGGTATTTCCCTGGTGCTCCAGGATTTATGAAAGATGTGTGGTGCAATGGTTCTGAGATAACATCTGCCAGCTCCTTCAGAACTCTGGGATGTAATCTGTCAAGTCCTGGTGATTTATATTCGTCAAGGTTGGATAGGTGTTCTCTTATCATTTTCTTGCTTATTTTAATTTTTGTTTCTAATTTCTCTTTTGCAGTGGTTTTTTTTTTTTTTGGTATGTTGTGCTATGGTTTCTTTTTGTGTGAAGACTGATGCAAAGTATGAGTTAAGCAGTTCTGCTTTCTCCCTGTTGCCTGTTATTTCCTTGTCATCTTTTCTCTTTAGTGGACCCACAGTTTCCTTGTCCTTTTTCTTGTTGTTCACATATTGGAAGAAACTTTTTTTTTAATTATTCTTGATTTCTGTTGCAAGTCTTTGTTCGTTCTGAGCCTTTGCTTTCCTGACTTCATCTTTGCATGTTCTGGCTGATAATTGGCCTTAGTTATGTGACCCTCTTTCCATTTTTTTTTTGTATTTGTCCTTTTTGTCTTTCAGTTTGTCAGAGAGATCTTTGTGCAGCCTTGCTAGTTTCTTCTTGAATTTCTTGTTTTTGTCTTTCAGTGGTATTGTGCTAGACTGGGCTTTTGTGATTGCATTTTTTCAGAGTTTCCCATGCTTCTTGGATTGTTTTGCCCTTTAGGATTTTCATCCATGGGATCTTTCCTAGGTTCTCTCTGAGTTTGTTAAAGTCAGCTCTTTTGAAGTTTAAGACGCTGGTTGGATTGTTTTCTGTTGCTAGTGTTTGCGTTATATTAAATTCCAGTATGACGTGGTCACTTTCACCCAAGGTTCCGGCAACTTCAGCTATCGCTTCTTCTCTATTAGTAAGGATTAAGTCCAGTATGGATTTACATCTGGTTCCTTCCTCCATCTTTTGAGTGACAAAGTTGTTGGCTAGGTTGGTTAGGAATCTGTTTGATCTCCCAATCACTGCAGAGCTTGTCTCCCTGTTGATATCTGGATAGTT